AACTATCTCAGGTCATGATAATTTCTTCAGCACCTGGCTTGTGAGCTGATTCTGACAAATATTTGGATAGTTGGCTTTGTTCTAGTGATAAGAAATCACAAAAACTAATAGAATGCATTGGCTAACAGAGAATACTACTACATTTTGATCTCGAAGGCAATACAGATTCATGCGTTTTCAAGGCCAGAGTTTTTTTGAGGAAGAAAACCGGAACAAATGCTTTTAAAACAACTAATTGTCTTACCCTACACATAGACTCCATGTTACATCTAAACTAATGATAGAGGTACCTCTTCTAGATTTCCATCTGATTGGAGTTTACTCTGTCCAGATGAAAAATGTGACAGCATTTTTATTGAATTCCCCAAGGACATGATTTGCTGTGGAGTTCTACCTTAAGGAAAACTGCCATTTTAACTTGGTTAGATTTTTTTTCAGTAGTCCTATTTGTACTCTTAAAGTCTTAAAATTTTAATTAGGCTGCTTCTCACATGATAGTGGCATCTTTCCTATTGCACGTTGAATTTGTACTGACATATTTGTCATGCTGTTAATTCTAAGTTTAATTTTCTACAGTGCGCTGTTGAAAGGGATCAATGTGATATATACACAAAACTCAAAAATTTTCAAGACTTAGGGAAATGGATATTATTTTCCTTGATTAGTTTGATTAAATAATGAACTAATATGTATATAGTAACTGGAGTATACATTTTTTTTCTCTTTTAATGGCTGTTTGATTTAGAATTGGAGTGATCACACTTAAAAACACATTCTGTCCAACTTTAGATGCTTGGAAAATTTATTGAGTGTGTCAGTTAATTACTCTGACTTTGTTTTCTTTCCCAAACATTTCAGGATAGTGTTTTGTCTTTTTAAACTGTTAATTATGCTCCTTGAATTTTGGTTGTTAGAATGGGATAATTAAGGGTATTTTAAAAGGTTGATTTGGCTGAACTTCGGACTCGAATGAAATGTAGTGGTTTGCAAAGACTTTTCTATATTAAGAAATATAACCATGTTTAAAATTGTATTTTTCCCATTGATTCTAGGTACAGCTGCTTTAGAAGAAGATGCTCAAATTCTTAAAGTCATTGAAGCATATTGCACAAGTGCCAAAACACGTCAAACACTAAATTCAAGTAAGTTAGAAAGTACTGAACTGGCTAAGTAAAACAGAAATTGGTTTGCAAAAAAGAGAGGTGTGTGTTCTCAGGCCTTTGCAAGTCGCAAGCTGAACCTGGAAAAAATAACAACTTGTTTCTGGCTTAATATCAGTGCTGAGTGTTTTGAGTATTGGATGCCAAGGACTGTGATTAAAGACTATAATTCTGTTAGTTTAAAAAAACAACAACAACAACAAAGAAACAACAAAAGGACTACTTGTCATAGTTTAAAATTGGACAAAACCTTCAGTGAATGAGAGGTGTCTGAACTGAATATGATAGTTAATCAGTCTGCTTTTTGATAAATTTCAAGAAGCTGGTAAGTAGAGAGGAAGGATGAAGAAGCCATAATTTTGGAGAAGAGTATTTTTGTCTTGTTTTGTTCAACAAAGACTTCCACTGTGGAAAAGTAACCTAGACCTATAAAAATTTCTTTTCTTTTATTGCCACTAGTCGTTTTTAGTATTAATTAAAAATCTTAATCCCATCTCATAATTTCAGGAGAAATTGCTCTTGGATCTGTGTGTTGCTTAAAAGCCATTTTTAGTTTCTCAGATCAATACCTAGCTTATTGAAAACCTGTAACGTGCCTCTGGGGTCCTACTTCATTTAATCCAAATCAAGGTTGCCATGTGGAGTTCCTCTGTATTGTAAGTAAAACTTTGCGCAAAGCAGGGGAGCCCACCAGCGTGTGTTCCATTTACAGAAGGAAGGAGAAAATGCTGTTGCGTTCGTTCCGATTTGCACAGTTCTTGCACTGTTGAACACCGATTTAATCCGGGGATCCTTGGAACACAGTATAATGATCCTGAAGTACTCGGCTGGTTTTGCTATTGCCAGGAACTAGAAGAGTGGATGTTGTAACTTACTCCTTGTCCACTCAAGCTGTTTAAGTGGGTGGTGTTAATCACTGCTGCCCAAGGCACTCTGTGCCTGTTTTGCTTCCAAGAAAAAGCACTTTATGCTGACAGTTGGGAAGTCTCAAAATGCAACTGCAAATTTGACATATAGATTTTCCTAACGTGTTCACTTCCTGTTGTCACCTTGAAAAAAATCCTGCTACTTTGTATGTAATTTAAAATGGGAATGTGGCCCTTGTATTAGACTGTAGAAACTTGTGAAGTAACAGCAAAACCCTTCATTTTATTTTTTCCATTTTGATGAACTGTAGGTCTCTAAGGTGATAAAATTATCTAGTATTACATAATTTTTATTAAAACTAATTTATTCTGTAGCCCTACAGTCAATTACAGTAGTGTGTTTAATTGGATAAAAGGGAATGAATGTATTCAAAATTCTGAAGATATACTGTTGTTCCAAACAAAACTAAATGAGGTGATTGTTGTTTGAACATCTCACCTATGATCAGCTGATTATTTCCAAAGATAATGTGGCAAGAAATGGTTGGGGAAACATTTGCACTTGCACAATAGTGTGTGTGTGTGCAGATATAAAATGGATTTTGTTTTGCTTTTTTGCCTGTTTTTTTTCTTTCTATGTATATTTAAGCAATATACATAGTGCTGTGGGTATCATTGCATACATCAGAAGTCAGCAGCTTTTATTTGCTCTTAATTGCTGCAAGAAACAGGGGGTTTTTAACTGATTAAGCGCACAGCTGCTTTGTTGGGAATGAATGGTGTTGTCTAAGACTGTAGGTTTCAGAAGATCCATTTGTAGACTTGAATTGGAAATGGGGAAAAAACCAGTCATTCAGGAATTGCATCTGTGGGGGCAGTAGTCAGTGTGGAAGAATTTAAGGAAGGAGTTGCCTGTCACTCGTGAAGAACACCCGTTTTTTACATATTCCTTTCTTACCTCCGGGTTAATGTTCTGCCTGTGCCTCACGGCACTCGTTTGGCAATTCTCCTACCTGCACCTTGATCCAAAGCCCAAGGGGTGCTGCTTTTGGCAACGTGAGTTGGGCTGAGCTCTGGCACCCGTGCACACTCGCAGGGAGTGGCATTAAAAGTATCAGAGCAACTTCTTTCAGTTATTTGGGTGGGAAAGATGTAGGGTTTAGTTTGGGGGAGGAGACAGGTGCAAATAAAAGAACGGAATTTCTCCTGTTTCACATGTGCTGAGTTTATTCTGCAATTCTGATTCACATGAAGGCTTGACCTTTTGCAATATCATGTGTATGGTGGCTCATAGAACAGCCACTTACACAGTTTCAGCCTTTGGGTGTTGACAGGAAGTTTAAAAAAAAAAAAGGCAGCAACAGTGTCCTTGGCTACCCTAGACATCTTAAAGTATTTAATTGGGAAGACAGATTCTGATAGAGACATGTGGGAAGAGGTGTGTGAAGGGTTGGAGTGGACCAGGCTGTGTTGCTGCTTAGCCTTTTGGCCCTGTTTTTCTGTGAGTTATTTACTACATGGTTAAACAAATAACAAGGAGTAGAGGCACAGAAAAGCTGTGCTTTGACAGTCCCTGTGAGCGGGTGCAAGATGTCGCTGCTGATGTAGAATGTCAGCAGCCCTGCTCTGCATGACAGCCTTTGCTTTTTTCCCTGCATTTTCCTTTTTACAGCAGTGACACAAGCACTTCTGTGGCTGTGTTGTGAGCTGGTGGGGAAATCACCTGCTTGAAAAAGAATCTTTTGCAGGGTTACTTTTCACCTGAAACTGTTCTCTGACCTGGCTCACCAAGCAGCTGTACAGATGACTGTGTCATTGGAAGGGAGGGAAAGGATGGAGGTACAGATGCACGATGGGAAAGGGGCTGTTGCTTTTTTCACATCAGCTCTGGTTCATGCTGGCTTACTGTGCTTATCGCTCTGTCCCCAGTCAAATCCCTTCAGACTGGAACTGACTCTGTACTTCAAAAGAACCTAACTCCCTCTTCCAAAAAAATCTACTCTCAAACAAGATTTTGGTTATTCAAAATTCGCAACTGAGGCTGGTTAGAAGCTCAGTTCTAAGTTTTGAAGTGATTCAAAAATTGTATTGTAACAGTTCAAACATTATTATATGCTGAGTGTAATTTATACCTAAACCCCAAACAAATTTTAAAAAAAGAAAAAAGAAAAAAAAAAAACAACTTTGGTGCCTTTTTAACAATATTTTCTCTTTTCCTTCTCTTCCCATCACCTTTTTGCTTTTATTTCATGTGTTTGGTTGTGGCTATTCCTTACGTTCTCCTCCTCATCCCACCTCTGCCTATCCACATCCACCATTTCATTTCACCTGTACATCCTTAGCATGGCAAGGCACTGACCTGATGCATAATCACGTCTTGGCTGATGATGACCAATCAAGTCTAGACTCCTTGGGTCGTCGCAGTAGTCTTTCTCGTTTGGAGCCTTCAGACCTCTCAGAAGACTCTGACTATGACAGTATATGGACAGCCCATAGTTACAGAATGGGGTCTACATCTCGTAAGAGCTGTTGCTCATATATCTCTCACCAGAACTAATGCACTTCTGAGCTTTTTCTTAACAAATGCTTGTTGTATCACAGCCTGCTTTTCTTAGATGTTTTCTTGCTGTTCCTTGTCTCTTTAATGTGATATTTTAACAACTTCTGAGGGAGCTTCTGAAACGTCAGTTATACCTGGTGGAAGGCTCTATTGCCAATTCAATACACGTACAAATAAGTCATTTGAAAAAGTGTATATCCTGTTAAGGATGATATTTCTTGAGGATTTTTTTTAACTGACAGATGTTAATTTGTAGCTCTGAATGGTCTCTTTTTTTCCCCCTTGGTCAGTGTAGCAATAGGTCCTTTCTTTTATTTTGGATACAGCACATTTTTGTATTTTGTACTGAAACTATACTGGTTTGTGAGCTGGCTGAGTGCCAGTGACCTGGAAACACCTTAGCGGTAGTGGTTGGATTTTCCACATACTACTAACAAAATACAAAGCTGGTAGAGTAAGAAAAATGCAACTTAAAAAGAAGCAGTACAAGAGCTGTAAAGTCATTCAGATTTCTGTGTATCCAGCCCATTTGTTTGGAAGAGCATTTGTTAATCCATAAAAAGAAAAATCTGATTTTATACTGCTGCCTTTTTCCTCATTGCTTAAATGTGTATATATAGGACTGCACTGCTCTCCCCACCCCAGTCTGGCAGTTGTCATGAAAACCCGGCAGCCCATGCTCATTACACGCTGTGTTTTGATAATCTCATGTTACCTCTGGTCATACTGTCACTTTACTGTATGCAGTGGCGTGGCAGAAAGCAGGGTCTAGATGTTTACTTGCCTGTTAAAATACACAGCTGTCAACTCTCAATTGACCATTCTTCTTGAAAAGACGAGATGAAAATGGTTCCCCCTGATGGAGGCTGGAGGGGTCAGCATCTGAAACTCTAGGTACAACTGCGATCGCATTGGCTTGTTTGAAGTTCTGAATAATAGAATGCTTGGCTTTTGGGTTGTACTGTTTGGAGCATGTCTGTGCCAGATTTTTGTTGTGTCTTTTGTAACTTCTCTCACGAGCAGGTTTGATTTCAGCAGCAGCTCTTCGCTTACAGTCGCGTTGGCTTTTCAGAGAAGCGTGACGTGTGTGCACAGCTGAAGGTCTCGAACCTGAACCTGGGGCACTGCTGGGGTGAAGTGTGTGTGTTCTGTCTTGCAGATAAAGTAATTGGCATCAAAACAAAAATGACACATTTTCTAAATCTTCGTTGATATTAGGGAAAAAAGCATGTGACGAGAGGACAGGAACGGTTCTTGTTTTCACCAGGTCCCCCAATGCAATTCCCTTACCCCTTTTCAAGTAAGCACGTTCTCTAGCATTCAGGTATTACTCTATGAACAAGTTCAGAATAATCACGATGTATTTTACTGCCATCTAGGAACCCGATCACACGGTTCAAAAGATAATCAGTACCTTTCTGCAGGTTACACGATCAGAAAGTTGGTAATTGCTAGACGTGCACGATTTCAGAAGGTGGTCGGCATGGTTAAGCCGTTTCAAAGTAGTTCACATCTTGGTCTTGTCCGATCGCCTGCTTTGTCCTCTGTCGCTATTGTTGGCATTCAAAAATGCGGCCAACAAAAACAGCAGGGCTTAGCGAGGAGGGTTTTCAGGGGTACATGTTACTACCAGTTGTATATTAATGCAATGACCAGGAACTTGTGCATGTTGAACTTTGTTTTCGAAGTGGAGGATCATTGCTTAGAGAAATAAGTACGTGTGCTCCATACCATTCCACAGCGCATTTGTAACCCACTTCGCTCTCCCTCTTCCTTTCAGTCAGTTTTTGTTCTTTTAACATATATGGAAAGTATGGATTGGTTTTTTTGGTTTTTTTCCCCTGTTTTTTAAGCTGTGGTGTTCTAGTTGAATAATGTTTTCTGCATTGGATAAAAGATAATTCCTTTACGTCTCTTTCATGTTATATAGTGTAAATATGTTTGTAATACCGTTGTTGCACTTGAACTTTCCTTATCACACAGAATGTTTTGTTATCCAGATCTGAAGATTTTATTGACTTTCTATGCACCAAAGCTTTGACAGTTTACCACCATTAATTATTGTAGCATTTAAGTCATTACCAGTTATCATAACTAGGCTTTCTCGTATTCTGTATCCTCATATTAACATCACTGCACATTTAAAATCATTCTATGTCTTCAGTGTTACAGACCATAAGCTATTGTGATCTGATCAGGAATATTAATGCAAAATGCTTTTAAAAAAAAAAAAAAGGGAAAAAAAAATAAAAGGCAACTGTGGAAATGGTGGTATTCAGTCCAAAGGTTCAGTGTTTCTATTTTTGTGGAACTTTAGTCATGGTAATAATAGTACCTTATGTTTATGCAATTCTGTAAATTATATGTGTACAGTTACAAATACACTGGAAGGATGGAGAATCTGAATTGGAAGGTAGGTTCAAGCCATTGTCAGCCCCTCTTCACATGGCTTATGCAGTGTTTCCATAAATTAGTATTTGCCATAAATTTGAAACCAACCAACATTAATTGGGTGTTTTGCATAATCTTACCAAAACACAGTAATGTGTATATAGTGACGTAAACATAGAAAAAATAATATATATTGTGCACTTCATTTGTGAATGGGAGAAGCCATCTCTAGTAGGTGACTGCCTTTTGAAAATACAAAATGGATGTATATCTGAATGTTGCATTGTACTGTACAGTATGCATATTGTTTGTGGTTGCATATATCAATTAAGTGTTTTGTTTTATATAAAAAAGGACATCTGTTATGTACAGTTGAAATAAATTTTGCATTTGCTAGACTGTGACTTTAATATTTAATTATTACACAGGGGGAAAGGACAGCATAACTTGTAATTTAACACTTAACCCTCTTTTCTCCCTGTGTCTCCTTTCTTTCCTTCCCTTCTTCCCAGAGGAATCAAATGCTCAAGTGAAAGAGCTTTTTTGACCTAAGTGTGTAACCTTTGTTTAATGTAGTTGACAACTACAGGAAATTCAATGTAATGTGAAGTATGTATCCTGTATCTTTTTCTTTCTTTTTTTTCTTTAAATAGCTATTCAGAGATGTTGCCATCTATAGAATGTCTTTCTGTTGCCTCTCTCTCCTGTTAATTGGTTTTATTTTCTTTTTCATTTTTTTGGATTGATATGTTCTCAGTAAAAGCATGAGCTGAATTATTGGAACAGTCTAAAACCTACTTCTCCAGGTCCTGTTACCAGAGAGAAGTTTTATGAATATGGTATTGTTTTTTTATAAACTTACATATTTTCAAGATTTAATATTGCAGCATATTTCTCTTTAAAACAAGCCTTGTCTGTAGTGTTTCAGCTTAAAAGATACTTGTATTTGAGTAAATTTAAATAAGATGATAACCTAATATACGTACTAAAATGTTTACATCAGAATAAACAAAGAAATCACCTTCTTCTGTTAAAAGGTCAAAGCACTTCTTTTGGTATGGTTGTATCAGCTCTAGTTTTAGCCCTACAGCCCTCTGGTTGTAAGTTTTTGTGTTTGTTAGTGAAATGTAGGTAGTGTAGTGGGATAACTCTTTCTAAATTTTGTCTTAGAAATATCCCACTTTTTCAGATGATGCATCTGTCTTTCAAAATCTTTGTTCTGTTCTTATATAACTAACACTTGCGTGTTTCAGTCCACTTTAATTTTCATTTTACGTGTCAAAACATTTTGCTGTAAACTGCATAGATCTATCATCCGAGTCATGTGGGGTTTTTCTCCTTATTTGTGTATCAGTATTAGTTAAAAAAACGTAAACAACTTCATCCCGAAACTTTTTTGTTACTCCCAAGAATTTGCAAGCAATGGTGTATTTTATACAGTGAGCTTCAGTTTTGCCTGATGTTTTGATTCGGATTTGTTTTTATCTGTACAAAGATATTAAAGGGCTCCCTTCTGGCTTTGTTGGATCTGTAGCATGAAGAACTTTTTTTTTCCCAATGCTTTAATCTCAGTTCACACAGAGTGTGAGAGCACCGCTTTTAGGGTTCTTCGTAATAGGACCTCATCAGAGTTTCACTGAGAAAGAGACGGTTAATTTGGCGTGTCTGCTCATTCACTTTAACATCTTTAATATAAGTAATGCAGTGAAACACAATGCTCTAAGTGGCAAATAATTCTTATTTTTGTCTTCACATTTACTTCTCCAGGAAATTTACATATCTGTGCAGACCAGTGGCCTATTAGGTCTGAACAGTTGTGCATGCACATACTTGCTTCTCCAGTGGCAAGTGAGACTTCTGTCTTTGAAGCTGAAGCACATAACTTCAAAGAGCTTCTTAGTTTATCAAGTTAGTGAAAAACAGAATTGTGTATTTATAGGTACTGTTTCTAATTTTTTACCTTTTTTGTGCCTTGTTCCTCTCTTTATATCTCCTAATCACAGTAAAGGTATGAAAAAAATGAAGAAAATAGCAATACTTAAAAGCTGTGCGACAGAATAATTGCTCATGGCCTCAAATTAGGATGTACATTTGTTAAAATTAACCACCATCACCACACATCTGACTTCCATATCTTAAATTAGGACCCTCGTAGTTGTTGGGAGACTGTGACAATACCTGGGTTGAGCCTTCTGCTCCATGTGGCCAGCTGGAGGAAGGATCCCCATCCCTGACTGACTGGGGAGCGATGGCTTTTCCTTGGGGCCTGAGCTTAGCTGCTTTGAGTAGGTGATGTGAATGGCCACCTTCATTTTACTCTTGATTTAAAAGATTCCTGGACAGACAAGGTCTTTGAACATAGGCAGAAACTTAGTATCTGGTAAAAGTAAAAAAGGTATCTGAATTTCATCTTCCTTCACTCCCTGCTGATGTGTAAGGATCTTTGCAAAACTTCTGATCTTTCTTTGGTTGTGTCTGCTGGATGATTCAGAAGGACCAGACCGATTACCAGTACAGCTCCTTCTGAAGCCTGGCTTCTGTCAGCAACAGCATGGTGCCATGTCAGTCTTTCTTTAAGATATCACGCTCCCTTTGCAGGAGAGCAAATAAAAGGCTGGAGTTGTGCAGTTACACTTGCAAACAGACATCACTCAGAACCTCTGTGGCCTTCACTCTCCACTCTAGTTTCTTCCCATTTTGGTGTCGAGACCGTACTCTAGGGCTATGAGTGATGTCAGGTGTCAAGTGAACTTCTGTCAGCCACATAAATAGACAGGATTCATAAATAGGCAAGGATTCAGCTTTCTTCTCCCCTGTCCCTCCCTGCCCCTCCGCCCCCAAAATGCTAAGAACTGCTTGCTGGTTTGGCTCTTTGATTAGGCTAGAAAGGGGATCAGATGCTGAAAACTAAAAGCAGTTATCTTTATACCCACGGCCCTGTTCTTGTTATATAGTGATTATTGCTAACATATCTAATTGTGGGCTGAAGGCTTTGTGGGTTCTGTTATTATCCGCTTTATTCTGGAGGTTCTGCTGAACAGGGTATGGTGTTGGCAGAAAGCATTGTCATTATCCTTCGCTCCAGGACTGGGAGATACTAATACTGAATAGCTACCTTTATTTTCTGGATGGAATTCAACTGATGGAACTTAGTTGAATCTTGATGATAGCTGTCGGTTGTTTTCCCTTAAAAATGCAACAGACTCAGGGGGCTGGTTATATCAGTCAGTTGAGCGTGGCGCTGACAACGCCAAGGTCGCGGGTTCAATTCCCATTCGGTCCCCATGTGTTGCCTGATCTAGTCGAGAGGTGATGTCCCTGGCGACAGGGAGACAGGTTTAAAATGATCTCTAAGGTCCCTTCCAGCCTAGGCCATTCTGTGATTCTAAACGGAGGGATCATTCTTCCAAGACCTTGGGATTTAAGAGTTCCCCACCTGAAAGTTGTCAACCTACTCAGCCTTACCATTTGTTTGCTAATCTTGAAGTAATTGTCCAGGTTTGCCAAGCTTCCTTTCTTCTTCCATCCACCTTATTTCCACCAATAACCCTCCAAAAAGGAAAAGAATAGAGTGATACCCTGTTCTGTAAAGCTTTTGGGGAGTGTCTCTCTTTTTTTTTTTTTCTTTCTGTAAACCAGTACTTCTGATTGTATTGTCTCAAGGAGATTTAGGGCCAGAGTTGTTGGAAGACAATTTAAACATTGTCTTTTGGCCTATTTGACTTGAAATGAGACTGGATAGTGTCTTGTATTAAAATTGTTGTGAAACTTGCATGCTTAGGATTGAGGCATGGCAGATATGGAAGATATGCTAGTGGGGGAGACTGTGCAAAACAGAGCATTCGAAGGGGGAAAGGAGAGGGTTGACAAGGTTTAGTGGTGTGTCTGGCAGTGCTAGGGTAGTTGTTGGACTAGGCAATCTTAGAGGTATTTCCAACCTAGATCATTCTATGATAAGCTAAATTGCAGGAACTTTCTAGGCTGTCTTTTTAGTACAACTCTGTGAAAAACTCACTGTGCTGTAACACAGCTCTCTTTTCATGTCCTAAAGTGGTAGCTTGTAGACTTTTCTGGAGAGAAGTGGTGACACAGAGAAGAGACATAAAGAACCTGGTGGAGGCACACGGTGCAGTTAGGGGAATGTTGCCAAGTGCCAGTACTAATGTGACTCTACTTGAAAGTTTCTTCTAGACGTAGAGTAGGCAGAAAATGTGTCTTAAAAAAAAATAAAAGCTGGTGTAAAGGGTGCAGAATAGCAGTTCAGTGAAGTAGCTGCATTTTGAACTTGACACATCAAGTCTGGTGTTCCTGTGCACGCACTCATTTGACAAGGTCTGTTGTTATAGGGTAGATGTGCTGTGTGTTTGCACTTCTGGTATTTAGCAAGTGCTTGTGGGATTTGGAAAATAATAATCCATAACAACCAAAATTCCTCCCCAAAACTCAGAAAAATCAGACCGATATAAAGGAGAAAGTGTGGGGAGGGGGGATGATTAGCTTTATTATAGAAACTAGAAGAGCAGTGAGGGTTCAGAGATAAAAATTAAAAAGTTCCGTGGCCGACGGTGTCAAAGTGAGGCAAGAGTGAAACATGTCATATCCTGAATTCCACGATAGTTAATGTTTTATGGCACGGGAATGTCAGTGTTCACAGCAACAGTTTTGTGTCATATAAGCGTGTATGTGTACTGCATGGTCTGCCTCTGTGTTTAATTTTGCTGAGCATTTTGTCTTTAATGAAACTGCATTCTGTGTCTCAGTAATGTCAGAATGTTTACTGTGCTATGCTAGGTAAACCCAGGACACATATATACATCAAGATATGCTGGTGTAGACATCCGTTTCACATGTCTATGTGCACATAACTGTACAGCTGGGACTTTTTTTTTTTTTTAAAAGCTATCTACTCCACGCTATTTCTGCTTTACCAGAACCACACAAAGACAGTTGGATGCAGCTCTATACAGAAATAAATACAATGCGCTGCCCCATTTAGTTGTACGGAGTTCTGGGTGAGACAACTCGTGGCCATTCTCTCCGTTTAGTCAATGTTCCCCTTGGTGTGTGCCAGGCTAAGGTGCTTCACGTTGGTGCAGAGACTCAAAGTGTAGTGATTGGCAGCTGCTGCCAACTAATTCCTAAAATAACATTTAGCTCCATGTTTTGTGTTACCTCCCTGGCTAATAGAGCAGTAACTGATTAACTGGAATAAACGTAAGACAACTTTTTGCAATTAGAGATTGACAGCGCAAACAGGGAAGTGTCCTTGAGCTCCACACTGAGACTGGATGTGCTTATTTTTATAGGTTGTTTCTTCTCTGGAAAATAAGTGGGATTGGAAGAGTATTAACTCTTAAAAGATTTCTTCACCCTGTAAAATGAAGAACTTAGAGCTTTCAAGGACAAGATTCTGTTCTCAAATCTGCAGTTATCTTTATTCCATAAAATTTTGACCGTCACATACTGATACATTAGATTTTTTGTCAGTTAAGGAAATGGTTTTCTTCATTAAAGGACGTTTGTCATTGTTTGCTAAAAAAATTTAAGTAGCTTAACATGTACTGTTCAACTACAGTCCCTACAAGCTCATTGTTCAGAACTTGGTGCTGCAGCTGCGAGGGAGCTTAGTATTTTTTGATGAACTTGATTTATTTCAGTTTGTGTGTGTTTAGATTATATGTTCTATCATAAACCATAAAAGAAAAGCACTGTTACTGCAAGGCAGCTGTTGAGCAAGAGTTAATTGATTTCTCTTGACAGGCTTGCACCCTATAGTACCTAGTTTTCAGTTCAGACTATGCTAGACTGAAGAATTTCCTGGTTAATGAACGTTCATTACAATGAATTGGTAGGCAAGTGCACCTTGTTTGTTAAAACTGACATCTGGGTTATAATATGCGAAAACATTAATGCCTTATCTGCTGTGTTTGAATTCTGAAAAAATGCTGAGACAACAATGGAAAAAAAATGCTTGTGATTTGTTGCAGCCTAATTAAATAACATTTCTAGAATATATATTTTATGTGTGTGTGAGTGGATGCACATCTCCTGAGCTGTAGATTTTTCTATTCAGAGCTACTTTTTAAAAATCTGTATGTACTATCTTGATGTTACAAATTGTAATGATTATGGAAAATGTTTGGAAGATGTTGGTATGTTTTGAGGTGTTATTGCCAAGCTATTAAGTGCTTTTAGAAACGTTTATTAAATGCAAAGTACGTATTTTATCTGGTAGGAATTTATTGTAGGCCTGAAAGGCTGTCCATAAGTGTATGTGTATGCATACACACGTACACACGATTGCATTTATAGTGTTTCAGGGGAAAGGCGTGTTAACTTCTTCTATCGCTGTATCATTTGATACCACTGTTCTGCTCCTTACTGATAGAGTAATTGGATAAGAGTGGAATTATTTCTTGGATTTGTATCAGTGTGAGATCAGAATCTGTCCTTGAGGCTTAAATTGCTGTTCCTTAAACACATTTCTCTTTCTGAGTCAGCTATGGTGAATTTTCGCTTTTACGAACAGTTGAGTGTATGCTGTGCCTGGAAAAATGTAGCATTCCTATCGATGACATGGGGGTTATGCCAGCAGCAGGATAGGAATGTTAGATAATTTTTTCTTGATGTAAGGCTGTGGTTTCAAATGCAAGAAATGTGTCATAACTTCTGTGTGTGTGGATGGAAAAGGGAAATGCAAAGTGATACATCTTAATCATGCAGGTGTATCATGCAGTGAATGAAATAATAATCTTTAAAATTCCCCAGCAATATTTGTGAGTTGCTCATTTTGTAATTTATTTTTACAACAGGTTCCCGTAAAGAATCAGCTCCTCAAGTGCTGCTTCCCGAAGAAGAAAAAATTATTGTAGAAGAAACTAAAAGTAATGGTCAGACTGTTATAGAAGAGAAGTAAGAGAACATTTAATGAATGACGGATTAAACCAGTAAACTTTGCACTCTTCTTCCTCCTTCTGTCTCCAGTTATAGTAGTGTGTGTATGTTATATTCATAATAGGGAACAGAGCTGTTTGGAGTATGCTGCTAGTCCTTTAGGTGTGGTTGGCTTTCACTTAGTTGGTTGTGCTTGTGATCTGATTTCTTTGTATGTGCTGTGGAACTTAATCCTTCTGTGTCAAGAAGCAGTAAGTTTCACTTGTAAATTTACTAAGTGCTGTAGCATTTCAATATTAAATTGGTGTTACCTTTCTAGTTAGGTGTGGTGTCATTCTATTTTTTTTTTTTAATAACGTATATGTTGGAAGTTTACAGTTCTGTTACAGAAAGCTGTAATGTAGGAACCAATATAGTCCATATGTGCTTGAGAGGTTCGTCCTGGTACAGAAGCTGGTAACAGATCCCTGCCTTAGTTGAGTATAGATCAGGATAAGAGACAGTATTTTTAATACAAGTTTAATACAAATTTTAATACAATAATAGCTGTTAGCAGTAGGTTTTGTAGTGTTTTTGTTTAATGCATTTCATGTGATAGTAGATTTCATCTGATACAGATTTAGACATGTATTCCTGAAAACTGTTGTAACAGATGATCTTCTTTTTTTCCATTTTAGAAGCCTTGTTGACACAGTTTATGCATTAAAGGATGAAGTACAGGAGTTGAGACAGGTTAGTATCTTGCTACATTTGTAGCAACCAGATGATGGAAAGATGGAAGGCTAAAAAAATAAATATGACTTGCAAGTTGATGCACTTTGACAGGACTGAACCTGAGCTTTGGACTGGATTCACATTTAGAAGTAAAACATGCCAATTTGACATAAATGGAGCATCAGCTTTAGAGAACAGCATTAAGCATCCTCTCTGATTTCTAGAGGCAAGCGTCCTTTTCAGTGTCCGTCAGGTGGCCAGTTTTTTAACGAAGGCTTCAGGTTAGCTTAGGATGTGCTGCTTTGTCACATGTGGGAATTGTGCAAGATCTCCTGTGAGTTGCTAGTGTGGAAGTTGCAGCTGATGTTTTAAGCTTGTTTTAAGTATTCAAAACGAGATGTTCAAAAATATAATTTGTCAGGACGCAGCCTGCTTAAACCACGTTAATGCTGCTGCACATAGTCATTGCTTAATGTGCAGGCAAAAAAAGCATTGAATTACCCTCACTCTCCAGTGTGTGAATTTGTTAAACTGACCTTAAAAGTTCTGACTCAGGAAGTTGCATAAAATCTCCTGTGTTAATACAAAATGGATTTGTATTCAATTTACTTCAGGTTTTGGCCTGTGAACGTGAATCTGAATTCTTTACCCATCTGTGCGCCCGCCCAGTATTTCAAAGGATGTCATGCATGTACCTTGAAATAGGACAGTTTGGTATCTTAAATACTTCTGCCATTTTCAACACATAAAGTATGTGTATCCCAGGTTTGATGCAAATTAGGCAGTCTTATTTTTTCAAGATACAGTTCACGTAATACAAGCAGCAGTAATAACCCATTAATATTCTTGTAGCCTGACTGCTTTGTACGAAGGATAAACATACTACCTCAGTGAGGCCTCGCAGATCTCTGTGACCCTAAACAAAAAAGTCACCTTCTGAACTTCAAGCAATGCCTTTTTTCTGGTGCTTTTCCAAACAGATGGGCTCTTCAGAATCTTGCATCTTCCAAAGCCAAGACCTATTAAAACCTGTGCTTATTTTGTTATGTATCAGGAATCTCAGCTTAGAAGCATTTACTGGTCTGCTGCTCTGATAGTGCAAGGTGAAGAAGTGGCAGAAATAATCTCTGAGCTGAGAAGATCCCAAGTGACCCAGGGCTGTGTGGATAAAGGCTCTCTGGGACTGCATGGTGCACTGGTTGGTGTAGACACTACCAGATGGCGTGTCAGTGAGAGTTACCACTCCGGGTGGGATCTCTCCCGTAGGAGCTCCCATAGGTTGTTCATAGCTGTTGTTCCACGGGTACTGCCCTTGAACAGTGCAGTCCTGAACTGGCAGTAAATAAAGAAATAAATGAGAAGAAATGAAGTCTGTAGCTAGAAGAAAAGAACAAAATTCCTGAGGTTTTCAACAGACTGCAGGGGGGGAATGGAGTTAACGAGGTGGCAGCTGTTCATCCCATTCTGTTTCCAGAAATGTCTGTAGATAACAAGTGATGGGAGTCCAGAGGGACTCCTGGATTGCAGACCTGTGTTTGTTAAACACCTGTAGACTTGTTCTCTTGGGGTCTTAACATAATGTTGTCTTATCTTCTGGTTGCTTCCCTGCTGTTGCCAGCATCACCTTGGCCTATTCAGGATTAAACAAAGTAAGCATTACTCTGGTTTCCTCAGTGACATCCTTATAGTCCTGTTGTTCGTAGTATTTCAATATTAGCTGAGGGTGCTAAATACTGAGAACTGACGCACTCATTAATATACATGCGGAGTGGTGGCATTCCTTGAAATTCAGTCTCCTCTTAGAGCATTGGTAGTCATCTGTCTGATCTAAAATTCAGTCACAAAACACTTTCCAGAGAACATAATGGTTTTCAAAATACTCCTTTCAACTATTTGCTTACCTAATGAAGCAAGTTAATTTGCGTTAAGTTTTAAGAAGCTTTTCCAAGATCGTGAAACTAGTATAATCACAGGAGGCTCTTAGAGGGGATATTTGTTCTACTTATTGCTTTATTTCCCTTCTCCATTAACAGCAAATATATTAAACTCTTCATTGATCAGATTTGAGCAGAAGAATTCAAGGTGGTTGGCCATCTGTTACTAGCACTTGCATTATAAAGTGCCACTGAATATAAATAGGAAATAGCTCAATTTCCATTGAGGGGGGGATTGTTGCATTGTGGGAAGTAACTGTGTGTAACATGTGACATTTTAACAGAAGGCTTTTCTTCAGAACAGCAAAAAGCAGTCTTACTGAGGAGAGCCTTCAGCATATGTGATTGCCAACGTATGCACGCTCAGAAAAGATCTGTTCAAAACAAAACACAACAAACCAGTAATATTTCTGTCTCTGTTAAACAGGATAACAAAAAGATGAAGAAGTCCTTAGAAGAAGAACAAAGAGCTCGCAAGGACTTGGAGAAGCTTGTTAGAAAAGTTCTAAAGAACATGAACGATCCATCTTGGGATGAAACCAACTTATAACTAATTCTTTTTCTTTCCCTCTCCCCACCCCCTTTTTTTCTTTCTATTGAAAGACCAGTTGTAAAACTGAGCTGGGAAGCCTTCTGACATTAGTCAGTGTTGCATCAAGAGCACTACAAAACAGGATTTAACTGGATCTAGTGATTTTTTGCGCTGAACATATAGAAACACTCAAGCCATTTACTGAAGCAATCTGTACTTTGTGTGGAGACCGTGGATCCTGAACTCTATAAAACTTAATTTGTTTGCATCTAAATTACCTCATTTTGCAGAAAGTGCAGCACCTGACTAAAAGTCCATGTTTTTCAGTGGCTTTTTAATTAAATATATATTTTTCTTGTAAATATCTGTAATTTTGAATGCATATGTGATTGATGTATCAGGGCCGATATGTTATTTTTTTCCTCTTGTTATTATAATTGTCACAAGTGTTAGGAATGACAGCAGTACTGTCTTACCTAAGAAAGGTCAGAGTTCTTTGTGGATAATTATGGATTTGTTCCAAATTACCCACTCATCACACATGCAAATTGAAAAACCTGTTTTTTCGTATTGACCGCTGTATTTAAATCCTTCACTGTTATTTATGTCTGTGCGTACATTTTTAAGCAGTTTACAATTCTTTAAGAACAGTATTAAAATACAGAAAGTTGTTTATTCACAGTAGAAATGATTTTTAACAGAGCTCATGCCCATGATTCACATTCACGTACACTTGTTCGGCAGACTAATCTGTTGTGCTTTGGCCACCAAAAGACTGATGTACTTGCCTGCTTTTTATGACTGTGATTTTTAGGTGTGTATGTACTACATTTTCTATCGTTGTGCTTAAACATACAGCTGGCTGATAATTTAATAGATCATGCAGTTTGTTAAAGCAAAAAACATCAATCTAATCCAGAATTTTGTGAATAAATTGTTGCTATTTATATTTTACGGTCACAGCAATTAAATGGTAGCTAACCTTTGTGCAGAAGGCACATGGGCTAGGCCAAACTTCATCCAGAGCTTTGTTTTTATACCACTATGTAAGACACTCTGTTTGGAATTCACAGGCTGTGGAAGCAGTCATTCCTTTCCCACCCTGTTCTCTCAGCGCGATGCTGGTTTCTGTCCTGCTAGGATTTAAATGGAAACAAATCTGGAAAGAAGATTTTTAAAATTTCTTTAATCATTACTGTAACTCATAATTTGCACTGCTGACAGATTTGAAAATACCTAAGTGAACATTTATTCCCTAGTCTGATAGGTGCAATTGCTGCAGTCTTTTCTTGTATTTAAAATAGGAGATGCTACATCGCTGCAAACTGTGAGCTTCAGTTGGAGCACTTAAAATGCTAATCCCATTAAAGCTCATTGTGTTTCATTGAATTCAGCAAACTTTGGAGTAAATGCTGGACGGTGCAATTTTCTGAGGGGTTTTTCTTCAGTTGACAGAAGTGCAGGTATAGCACAGACTCAAGTCTGCCTCTTGTCATCCTGATTTTCTGGTGACCTTTAAATCCCATGAAGTTTAATGCTCGGACTTGAGCAAATGTTTATATGAACTTTTAATGAGTTGGAGCCAGGATGATCAGGGTGGTAAGAATTGTCATGCACGTTTTGATCTAACGAAAAAAGATTATTTTTAAAGCTATTCTTTTTTCTCAGTCAAGAACAGCTTATTTTATATGGGAGGTAATGTCAGTGATTACATATTTGAGAAACAATTTTGTGGGACTGAATACTTAAGAAGCTGAAGAGACGATTACTTGTCCAGTTTAAAAAGTTTAATATATTTGTAGGTATTAATTTCTGTTCCTACAATTTAAAAATGTCTTCTTTTAATTCTGAAGGACAAGGCTGGATGAGAAAAGTCTACAGTATCAGAGTTACATCTATTCACAGAACTTTGTAATAATTCTTGGTTCCAAAATGTGTTCCTCGTGTTTGCAGTTGCACAAAAATGTGGACTGGCCTTTGGGTTTGTTGCCATATTTAGAAAATACATTTGCTAAAAGCTAAGTGATACTAAATGCTGCAAATTCATAGGATTTTGGCTAAATTCAGATTTGGGAATGCCAATATAATTAGAATTTTGCTAACATTTTTACTTTTTGACATTCGGATTATTTTCAGAACAAATTTTAATTTTTAGTTGAGTGTATGTAAAAGGACTTTCCAGAGGAAGGAGTATAAATGGAAAAAGTTTATCTTGGCAGTATTTAGCAAATTTTAACTCAGGAACAACTTTCCATCATAACAATGTGTTTTACTTTATATTGTAAAGAGTGGCTCTGCAATGTAAGTTTGCTGACCTGTGATTATAATATAATTTCTGACAGTACCCCTATACTGACATCTAATGAACATGCCTTAAACAGTGAGATTAAGCAGTTGTTAAATATGACCAGGACTTAGGGACTGATTTTATTTCAGGTGGAATGGGATGACTAATTTTTACACACACACAAAAAGAAAAAAACAACAACAACAAAAACCCCACACCACACCAAACCCCACCTTACTGTAGGTAGCTTTTGTCTCTGTGCAGAGAGCAAGCTTCAGGCTTGCTTTTGGGAACCAAGGAGTACCTGAACTTTTTTCTTTGACAATTTGTTATACTGTATATAGATGTAAATTTCACCACAGACCTTCTGAATTGTTGGAAACTTTATATAAGCATGGATAAATGGGGCACTGTTTATTTAACCTATTAAAGGGTTATTTCTTTGCTCTCATCATTTAGGGATGAGGAGATGAAGCCATTTCTTATCCTATAGATGTGAAGCACTTTCAGTTCTGAACTGTCCAAAATGTAGCATAACATTTCTCTGTACTTACTAATGTATGTGTGTTCGTGTCACCATGTCGTGACATCTTAAAGATTGAACAACTGACTGCCTTTGTATAAACCTTCTTAATGCCAATCATGTAGGGATTTTAGAGTGTCTGTTTACGGTATCTGTGGAGAACTCAAGTTTAGTTTAGACGTCACAGTAATATCCTGGTATCGACTACTAGTGTTTATGCTACATTGTTGTAATTAAACCATGATTTTTCCCCTACCCTATGAAGTGTTACATTTCATCTAATGTGTGGGCTATGAGATTAAGAAGGAAAAAGCTGGGTTTTTTTTTATTTTGGGGCTTTTTTGCCTCTCGTGTAAATAACCTCTGCTGTTTAATAATTGATATGCTGTCTTGAAAGGACTTTTTCATTGTCTTTTATAGTAACAGGTTGATGCCTGGAAAACAACGAGGCAAAGGTTGTTTAAAGGGGTGGAAGGGAGGGTCTTAACTGTCTTACACTAAGGAATTTTCACTTTCTTGGGCAACCTCACCTGCTGGGGTGATGTAAGAGGTGGGGGACATCAAAGGCAGATGATAACGAAAGGGAGGAAAGCCAGACAGTAGAAAATTAGGTCTACTTCAGATAAATCATGCATGTAGACAAGTATTTTACTTTATGCAGATTTACTACAGTTTCTTGCCTGGTAAGTGTGTATCATAGCTTGTGGGTTAAGACACTTAAAATTTTGCCATTTAAAAATATTTCATGGTGAAGAACAAAGAGAAAAAACTAAGCTGCCTTTCCACTACCTTATTCCTGCTTCCTGGGCTGAACTTCACTCCTTCATTCCTGATGTCCCAATCTTCCCCTCTCCCCCCACCAAGCAGCACAGGGGTGTTCTTGACAGTTCCTCTTTCCTGCTCCTTCTCCTTTGTGCTTTTCCCTCCTCGGCTGTGGGTCTTCCCTGTGGCCTGCAGTCCTTCAAGGATAAACCTGCTCCGATGTGGGTTTCCTCTGGACTACAGTTCCTGCCAGTATCTTGCCCCAGGCTGGGCTGAGGACTGCAGATTTCTTTGGGGCACTTGCTCCAACATGGGGTCCTCCACGGGCTGCAGTGTGGATGTCTGCTCTGGCATGGAACTCCACAGGCTGCAGGGGATCCTGGGGCACCTTGTTCCCCTCCTTTTCTGACCTGGGTGTTCACAGGGCTGTTCCTCGCATGATTTCTTCACTGCTGCACTCTTAAATATGCTTTCCTCGAGGCACCACTGTTTTGGCCGAGGGGCTCAACTGTGTCCTGATCTGCTGAGAAGTTCCAGTACCCTTGTCCCAATGCTATCAAATTTACATCCTATTGGAGCAGCTGCACTTACTAGGCTCAGAAATCTCAGTGCTGTTGGTGGACACCTTTGCTTGCTATGATAGGACAAGAGATGGGAAAGGATGGAGTGCGTAACAACTGTTGATTACGGGAGAGAAAGGCCTAAAATAGTTGTCAGAGGAGGTGTGGCTGAAATGTGTGTGTATGTACACCACAAGTCCCACTGTGCTGATGCTGAAGGGTTCCAGTTTGCATTTTGGAGAAGTGCTGAGATGAAATTTGAGAAGAAGTTGCACTGCAAGGCATGCTTCATAATCTGGAAAAGGATGTGGGCTTTGCTGTATTTGACCTAGTGCGCTCTGCAGTCGAGCTTTCTCTTTAATTCATGTGAATCAAAAATCATCCTGGAAGGGGAGCCGAGTCTGGATTTTGAACTAAATTGATCTCCTGAGCTGTTTATTAATTTGAGTTGCTACTCTCTCAAGCCATTGTTCAGGCCCAAATCTAATTCTTGTGACGTTAGGGGGAAATGAGATCTACAGTTCAGGGAGCTGCTGTTAACTCTGTCGCTGTTTACACAGTACAGATCTCAGCTATCCAAAATTTACTCACATGCTCCCTTTAGCTCTTGAACATTCTCACCAATTTCATGCCCGTCCTCTGTTGAATGAGCACAGGCTCTCCTTTCTGCACAGCAGAGCTTACTTCTGTGCTTTTACCCCAAGAATGGTCTTGAGAGGCCATGAATCTGTCCTGTCCCCCATTTGCCTGGCTGTGCCATGTACACCTGCAGGCATATCTGCTGGCGTTTCAATTAACGTGGCAGCGCTAACAAGCCTGGCCAGATAAAGCCCTTTGTACAACTCACCGTATCCTTCTGATCTCCTCTGTGTGAGCAGCGAGTCTTATCATGAGGATGGTTTTAGGCTGATACCTAAAAGGCAATGGAGGCTGGTGCAGTGAGAAAGCTTTTACCTGCTGCTGAGCACCAGTCCCAGGAATGTGGTGTGCTGTATGTGACACACAGGGTATTATAGAATTTGTAGGATGTCTTAAGTTGGAAGCCTCCCATAAGGATAATTGAGTCCAACTCCCTGCTCCTCCATTGCAGGGCTACCTAAAGCTAAACCATATGACTGAGAGCATCATCCAGATGCTTTTTCAGCTCTTGGTGCCGTGACCACTGCCCTTAGCAGCCAATTCTAGTGACTGACCATCTTCCTAATGTCCAATGTGATGTTTTATGTAGTCCTTGTGAGATTCCCCAAACAATTTCTTTTTTTTTTTAGCTAGTATATCACTCAGGTTTTGTTAGGCATGTCATGCCTGTTGAGCAGCCTCCAATAGCTCTGTATTTGCTCGACATAGCTGAGCAATACAGAAATAGCATGTTCTTACAGTGTTTTTCCAGTAGGGGACTGTGTTAGCTTCTGCTTTGTCAGAAACTGCTCACAGTTTCCATGAATTTGTTAAT